ACCATAGGCAGAACTATGCTGTACATACCCCATCCTTGGAACAAAATGTTTTTGTGTACATGTATGCTTGTCCTGTGCCACTATCTTTTACTCCTCTTTACACTACATGCCCCATACCCCATCCTAATCTGTCACTTTATTCCTCACTGTGCCTCCTTCAATCTCCCTGAATATAGTTTACTCTCAGACCATCTCCCCTCATCTTTCCTATCTTTCCTCTCTTTATGGTGTTAATATATTCTACATTTCTTTTTTTCTACGTCTTTGTCATCTTCTGTATGTCTCTGTTTTATGCATATATATCTTTCTCTGTATCTTCCTTTTAACACCTACATGTATCTTCCTTTCTACATCTACATGTATCTTCCTCTCCCCGTCAATTTTTTTCTTCCAAACTTTTAGTCTCTCTCTTTTGCTAAAAGTATCTCTCGCTTTTAACTCTACATCTGCCTTATTTTGATTTATCTCTTTCACTCTATATGATGTCCAATTTATTCTATTTTTAATTTTCATTCCTCCTCTCTCTTTCTTACTTGGTCTGTCTATGTCTTTTAAGCTTTCTCTTATCTCTGCTTTGCCTGATTTAATGTTAGAGATGACACTTCAGTGTTAATTCACTCTTTTCTATTGGTATGCACCAGTGATGTAGTTGATTGCCTAGTGCATTTGCATTAAGCAAATGCATATCATAAATGTACGTTCCAGGCCTACATACATGCCACGAAGTAGCTGTATCGAACACTGCACGCAAAACAGCATTTCATTTACAATTGCTCTCTAATCTGACATACCTGGTATTACAATTCACTTCTATGTGCATGAACCTCGTCTCTCTGACCTTAAAATTATTACAAAATACTGTTACTAATGCGGTGCTGATTTAGCATGATGTCAGGCCTTTCACAATGCTAAAAAAGTGAAAGTCAAGGTCTTTTCATTTCATCCAGGGATGACTAATTGACCTAATAGCTCAATACAGAGGTTTCATGATGTTAAATAGGTTTTTGCAGTCTCACCATCTGACATCAGTTGATAGGCCTATGCACTATTACTTATTATGAAAATTAAAGTACTAAATCTGGTTAAACAACTAGAGATAATCAGATAAACATCATACACGCATACTGAATGAGGGATAGGGCTAAAGGTTATTAGCTGAAAACTTAAACGTTTTACTTCACAGATCCAAAAAATTGCAATGACATGCTTAATACAAAAGTTAACCAGTGCTACAGCAAGGTTTTAGGGTTCTTGGAACCAAACTGTATATTTTGATTATTTGGATTAAAACTTGTTTGCAGGTAACGACTTGCTGCAGAGCTTGAAAAGCAAATCAGCTTCTTCTCAGACAACTTTTTCTTGACCATTACATTTAACATTAAACCTTGCTGTAGCACTAGCTACTTATCATGTTCAACACATCATTGAAGTTTTTTGGACATGCCAGACAACAATCAAAATGACACTGCTAATGTACTTAAAAAAGTGTTTAACATTGTGAAACCTATGTAAATTTGTTATCCCTGGATCAAATGAGAGGACCTTGCCTTTGACTTTTCTAGCACTGTAAAAGGCCTGGCACATAGGCGCCGGAACATCAGAAGCGTAAGGGGGGCTGAAAATGCGCGCGCAAAGCACGCGGAAAAATTTGCATAATTTTAATTATATTCATGATGGGCGTGGCTAATTAACGGGGTCTATTAATTAGCAGAGAAAATGGCGACAAATGCCACCATTACCGATTATTTCTCTTTGAAAGTGCCCCGGGTAGCAGATGCCGAAACAGACAGTATTCATAGTGAAATTTCAAGCTCTGATGAAGAAATTGAAGAAAGTAGCGCCACAGTCACAGATGCTACTCATAGTGACAGTCCGCTGCCCCCGGCCATTGTTAGAGTGCCTCCAGATGATTGTTCGTGCTCATGCTGTTCCTCCTCTTCTAGTGAGAGTTCCAGCGTGCCAGTTCAACCTGATAAACATTTCTCCCAGAAGAAGCAAGGGAAGCAGACACGGTCGTTTCAGCATACCTGGTTTCAAGAGCACTCTTGGTTGACGTATTGTGTCCCCCGCGACCTTGCTTTTTGTCATATCTGTCGCCTTGCTGTAAATAAAGCTCTTATGAAAATGCCTAGGAAAAGAGGACATCATGTTTTTATTACTGATGGGTTTTCAAATTGGAAGAAAGCAAAGTGCAGCTTTAAGAAGCACGAAAGATCACAATTGCACAGAGAAGCTGTCGTGAAAATTGTCTTACAGCAGCAACCCTCTGTTGCAACACAGCTTTCAAGGCAGTCAGAAAAGGATCATAAGCATAGGCAAGCTATGCTCATGAAAGTATTACAATCAATTAAGCTTCTGGCTCGCCAAGGTCTAGCTATACGTGGCCATTCCGATGAAGAAAGTAATCTTGTTCAGGTTCTCCGATGTAGAATGGCAGATGTTGAAGGCCTTGAGGCTTGGATTAATGCAGGAAAGTACCTCTCACATGAAGTCACAAATGAAATTGTTGAATTAATGGCTCATGCTCTTCTCCGTAATCTTTTAGTGGATATCAGAAACGCTAAATTTTTTGCCTTGATATGTGATGAAACTCAGGATATTAGTGGTTTGGAACAGTTTACTATTTCGTTTCGATGGATTGATCCTAGTTATGAAGTGCAGGAAGATCTAATTGGTTTAGTTCAGGTTGATACCACTGATGCAGCATCTTTAACTGGAGCCATTAAAGATGTACTTATTCGCTGTAATATAGATATCCACAACTGTAGGGGACAGACTTACGATGGGGCTACCAACATGTCAGGTCCTTTTTCTGGTGTTGCCACTCGTCTGAGACAAGAAGAACCAAGAGCACATTTTAAACATTGTGCAGCACACTGCCTTAATTTATGTCTTCAGGAGTGTGCCCAACGATGCTCAGCCATCAGAGATGCCTTATCTTTGTGTAAAGAAGTATATAATTTGATATGTACATCACCCAAGAGGTTAGCAAAATTCAAGTTATTACAACAGCAGCTTCATCCTGATGCAGCCATTGGTTTAAGGCCTATATGTCCTACTCGTTGGACAGTCCGTACAGCTGCTTTGAATTCCATTCTCAAGAATTATGATGTCATTATGCAAGATCTTGAGGAAATAAGTGAAGCTGGTATTGATGCATCTTCAAAAGCTGCTGGTGCCGTTGCTTTAATGGAAAAGTTCTCAACTTTTTTTGGAATAAAGCTTAGTTATTTATTATTTGGAGCTACAGAGCAAACATCAGTAACCTTACAAGCTAAAGATATTGGTGCTGAGGATGCACTTTCTTCTATTACTGCTGCAGCTAGCTTTCTCAATCGTCAAAGAAATGAAAGTGCTTTTCACTTGTTTTATCAGTGTGTAGTATGGGAAGCTAAAGAATTTACTGATGATCCAGTTCTTCCTCGACCAAGAAAAGTACCAAAACGATACGATGATGGCAGTTCTATTCATGTATTTGAGAACCCAGAGCAGCTATATAGGAAGAAGTATTACAAAGCTATAGACCTCATTATTGCAGAAATTGACAGGCGATTTGATCAACCAACGTTGCTGTTACTAAAAGAAAAGGAAACTATTTTGATTGAGTCATGCAATGGAAAGAACATAGAATTGTCACCTACTATGCAAGAAATGTATCAAGCAGACATAAATATGGAAAAGCTGAAGCTTCAGCAAAATATGCTTCCTGATGAAATTTCAACAGTGAACAAGAATGCTAATATGGGAATACATCATGTCACTAGAGTGAGTACAGTTTGTCAAGTTTTTAATGTGGGAAAGCTCCCTAAGTCAATGCTAAAAGAAGTAGATACGTTACTACATTTATTTTTAACAATTCCACTCACAACTGCATCAGCTGAAAGAAGTTTCTCAACATTACGCAGGCTTAAGAATTACCTGAGATCAACAATGACTCAGAAAAGACTCAATCACCTAATACTTTTGCACACACATAAGAAAGGCACAACTGGTCTTGATCTTCGCTCAATTGCTGATGACTTTATTTCAAAAAACAATCGAAGAGTTCAGTTTTTTGGTAAATAATAATAGTTTTTGTAATATTATTATTATTGGTAGTTATTAAAAATTAATAAATGTAATAACTATGATAACCATCGTGCGTGCGTGCCCGTGGTGGCCCTGGTGGGCAGGTCTTCCAAAGTTCCAAGACAAAACACTTTACAGCTTGTATAACCTATGAAGAAGTAAATTGGTTATTTTGTGTAGTTCATAAGGCCATGAGGGGGCTTAGCCTTCCTTGCCTTATTTTTGAGTGGGCTCTGGCCCACTCAGCTCCCCCAGTTCCGGCGCCTATGCCTAAGCTCCTTGACATTTGGAGGCTCTGGGCATCAACAATGGCCTTTAATTCATTAGGAGCAGTGTGTAAGCCATGTGCATCAATAACATGTCCTAAGTATTCTACTGACTCATGTAAGAAATAACATTTTCTCCCTTTTAACAGTAACTCCATTTACTTCAAGCTTATGTAGTACTTCCAGATTACACAAATGTTCTGCATCATTCCTCCCTCTGATTAAAATATCATCTAAATAACAGAACCTGTGGAATACCTCAAAATATTGTCCATTGTCCTCTGAAATACTGCTGGAGCTGATGCTACTCCAAACGGAAGACAGTTATACCTATACAGGCCTTTCTGTGTGTTAACTGTCACCATTTCTCTTGACTTTGGGTCCAATTGTAGCTGCTGGTAAGGTTGTGACAGGTCTAATTTTGTGACTTTCTGGCCTCCAGCCAATGAAGCAAACAATTCCTGTGGTTTAGGTAGGGGATACACATCAATACCTAATACTGGATTTAGTGTTACCTTGTAATCACCACATATTCTAATGCTTCCATCTTTTTTTGTACCACCACTATTGGAGCAGCCCAGTCACTAGAAACAACCTTGCTGTTCCAATTTTTTAAGTTCTTCCTCAACTCCTTTCTTTAAGGCAAATAAAATAGCTTGTGGACGGAAAATACATTGTGCTGCTCCATGCTTCTGTCGCAGTGTGGCCTGGTGATGCCAGAAGGTACTCAATTTTGCCTTTAAAACTTCGGAGTATTTAGACAGGACCTTCTGAACTTTGCAGTTCTAACCTGGTGAATCCTTAACCAATTGAAACAAATAAGTTGTAGCAGATTCCTCTTACTGATTGAGACTCATACTCCACGAGAACATCGCATTTGCCCAAAACCTCAATTGGTTCCTTTGTATATGTCTGAAGCTCCAATTCTGTTTGTAATGGGCTCATTTTTTTTTATTAGCGTCAGCAAACTCTCTCTGATGCAATTGATATTGCTGCTCCTGTATCCACATAGGGCAGCCATAAAGTTTTGCAGTGACTAGTATTGGAGGAGGTGAACCTTTAGCTGAGTTGACCTAGAAAATGCCGAGATTTTTATCACTACTACCACCATCGTCTATCTCCTTACCCACACCCTGGTTCATTATGTTTTTCACTGGAACCATTGAACTCTTTTGGAAAGGCTTAGAGGAGCGACATACGGCTGCAAATGTCCCCTTTCTCCACAAAAATGGCATACTGTAACCCGATGCTTGCAATCGTTAGCCCAGTGACCATCCTTTCTAAAATGGTAGCAATTTGATGTCTTCTTAGGCAGTACCTTATGTATGTCAGGGCAACCAGAAACAGAATGATTGTTCAACCCTTCTACTGTTTCAGCAGTTGTGGCCATTTCTACAGCAGCAGCAAAAGTAAGCTCTTCATCGTCAACTATCAACAGCTTCTTCTGTATTCGAACATTCTTCAAGCCACTTACAAACTGGTCTCTATGGCTTGATTATGGTGATGGCCAAATTCAGTATGCTGTTAGCCTGCGCAGCTCAGCAGCAAACTCTGCCACCGACTCTTCTTCCTTTTGACTCTGATTATGGAAACGGAAACGCTCTGCAATAGTGACTCTTTGCTGTGATATATGGTTCCTCAGCGTAGCAAGTAAATCCCCCAAAGACCTATCAATTGGTTTGTCGGGTGATACTAAGCTGGCAAGTAAAGAAAAATTGGCAGCTTCAATAATGCTGAGGAAAACATCTACAGCCACATCGTCACCTACCTTATTGGCTCATAAAAAGACATGCACTCTCTGCTCATGTCTCGAATGGCTCCACATAAGGCTGGTATTCAGATATCTGACCAAAACTACTTTGAGCCTTGCCACCCTCATTGCCAAGCTGTAAGATCCCTTCTTGTATCAAGGACAATCTTTTATATCATCAAAAACAAAAGGATCACAAAAATCTGTCCAGCAAATAATCATTAAAAAATTAATAAAACCCAATCAATATTTATAGACACACACCCAGGAAATACCACACTAAGATAATAATAGTTACCTAGCAACACAACCACCTAATAATAACAATGATAGTGATAATAATAAATACATGTACACCTTATTATTGTAGTCATAACTGTTAATAATATCTCAAAGTGTGCACCTTCAGTGACAGCCTTCAGGCGACATAGTCAGGCAGAGTCTGACCTTTGCAAAAGAACAATCCAACACCCGTTTTTGTAATAAACTTAATGGCTTCAGGTGGGGCTAGGTGGAGCTGCTCATAGCCATAGATAGTGTACATGGAACAGGATAGGGAACTTAATCACATGACCACACCTTTCATGGTTACACCTGTAGTTGTGAATCGCACCTTACTAAGGACGAAGAGACCAGAGAAGACACTTTTTGTGGGACTGTATTTGTGATCCAGAAGTGTATCAGAGCTAAAAAAAGGTTTTCTATGTAGCTCAGGATCTCCTTTTTGTGAGTTTGTCAATTTTGTCTTTGAAAAATGCTATTTATGAGTTTAATTTAGCCTTTTGTGTCACGCTCTAGCCTTACGATGACAAAAACTTGTGGGACTGTTGGGAGAGAACCTTTATCGGTACAAAACTCAAATTTGTCTAGTTTTGACCATTGATGTCTGATTTATGTTAGTCTGATAAAATTGTAACTATAATAAGTTGATAGAATTTTTTGTGGATTTTTGTATTTTACTGTTCATTTTGATTTGATATTACATAAGTCTGTATGTATGTAGGTTACCGTGGGAAAAAGAAAAAAATTATGAGAGAAATCGTTCACCAAAGAAGCTGATTGTTTCTATTCCGTTGTTGTCCTTGCCTTAAAGTATATCGAATGATCCTACTTCCAGTACACACCTGGCTCATAGTGACTCTGAATTGTTTATTGAATTTCAGGCCCAATCTTCATCCAAATCACCTAACAATTCCAGGAATGATCCTTCTACTTCATCTACTAACCTGGCTTATGATGACTCTGAAGCATTCATTGATTGCAAGGAACAATTCTCATCACATTCAAACTCCTCCATTTGTCTTGAATCTCTTGACGATGAGTCACCTATTCAACTCACTGTAAACATACCATTGTCTAGACATACATCTTTATCTACATGTGACAGTATCCAGCTCAGAGCAAGGCTATCTGGCAGTCAACTGATTCCTGATTCATGGACTTTTTGTCACAGTTCTTTCATTTTAACAATGGCACATATGAGTTTTTTTATACACAATAACTGTGGCATGTAATCGTTCATGGTCACTTTCTGTTGGAATTCATCAGATTGACCCCAGCAAGTGTAATCTATTGCGTAGTGTCCCTCTTATACTGTCCTGTGTTGATCATATTGTTAATTTGATGCAGACTCTTGATCAGAGAATGATATGTAGTGGCAATTGTGAACCCAGGTTTATGAACCTACTGGGTCGACATAAAGGACTTTTTAAGAATAGAAGTGGTTAGTTACAAACATTGTGGTTGTTTATTTTAACTAATCTCATTTTAGGTGCTGTTATTGCCTACTGGGATATAAGGACATTGCCTAGTGCAACTATTCGACATACTTCTTGTTACATTATAATCTCAAAGAATGTGCACTCTGGACAATGCCTACCATGTGATGAGTATAGGTAAGGTCTACATGTATGTGGTGCTCTAATTAATTTGATTTTTCATCACTATGTATACAGAAGTTCTTTATTTGCCCGAGCTAGCTGTGAGAAGTCTCGATTAACTACCCCGTCTCCATGTACAAGCAAGAGTAGTCATGTTAATTATATATTCTTGTCTTCGCCAAAAAAAGTTAAACGCTTACGTCAATTGAGGACTGAGAACTTAGCACTTAAGGGGAAGATATCGAATATAGAGACTAAGATTGGTGATATCATTTCTGACAAAGGGATGGAATTGGATGATGAGACTACTTCGAATCTTCAGCAAGTAATGACAGAACAATAGATAAATATTAATAAGCTACCAGAAGACTCATTAGACGAATATATTAAAGGCAACAAAAGGAAGCTTTCACAAGAGGCAAAAATGGGATGCGTTGGCATCCACTGATGATATGCTGGTGCTTATACAGACACCGTTTGTCTAGTAAAGCATATACTACTCTTAGGGAATCGGGGTGCTTACACTTACCATCGCAACGAACACAGAGAATACTCTCATTGTGTTGAATCTGGATCTGGATTCTCAGAGAAAGTGGATGAGCAAATAATGCTGGGTTCTAAAATGAAGTCATCTCCTGAGTGATATAGGCTCGTATTGCTGTTAATAGATAAAATGTATATAAAAGAATCTTTAGTTTATAACAAACACACTGGCAAAATGGTAGGCTTTGTGGATTTTGGTACTGTCAACAACCATTTATTAGTTTTTGAAGAATTGGTATCTTCTGTCAGTGAGAGTGCACCTTAGCCACCTCAATGATGGTCTTGATGGTGAAAGAATTGTTTACTCACTTTCGTTTCTCATATTTGCAATTACCATGCTCTACGATAACGGGAGACTTGATATTCGAACCTTTTTGGGAAACAATATTTCGTTTAGAAAGGATTGGATTTAAAGTAAGTATATGTATTTATATTTACCTAAAATTATTTTTAATTAGGTTTTGGCTACAACTTTTGATGGTGCCTCAGTGAATCGTAAGATGGTTAAACTGCATGATAGTGGTACCTTAGTTCTCTACAAAGCACTAAACATCTATG